CAAAGATATAAAAAGGTGAGTGTTGACTGTATTAAGCGAGTAATCCTTTGGGAAAAGATCAAAGGATTTAAGAAAGCTGGCTTCTCAATAGTTCAAAGCTCATTGTTGATCATTCTTTCTGTTTTTTATTCACTTTACTATAAAACTACACCTGCTGTTTCTTCATAATATTTTATTTTTCCAAGTGTCCAGGCTAATTCATATCTGTGGCTTTGTGTAGAGACTTTTTGTTATCTTATTTTCCAAAATCAAGACTACTCCTTTAATGTACTTTCACAGTCAGGTTTATTATACTGCTAAAAACAAAAGAATAGTTACTTTCAATATAATTAATATGAAATTAATTAATTAAGTGTTTTGGAAGCACATGAGTCCAGATCGTCACAACAGCGGTTCAGTTATGCAGTCTTATTCTTAAAGTGTGCCTGATCACATGCTGTTCTGCTATATATGCAGCCACAGCCCAGGGAAGTGCATAGTCCAGAGTTATCAGTCCTCTCAGGTTGTACCTATGGCCTGAGTAGTCCCATGGACAGGCTCCCAACAAACTAAGCCCCACACCCCAGCTGAACTCCCACAGGTAGATGAAAACAGTGTAGAGCACGAGCCGCACAGTCAGTGGGTGATTCTGAGCGAGCATCAGGGCCCTCAGCCTCTCCATGAGATAGATTGCTGTGGCATACATGGGCAGCGCCCACAGACTGCTGTGGCCTGCCAGCCTCCTGTCCTGGGTGCTGCACCAGTCCCACACAGCAGTGAAGGCCACCTCGCAGAGGCAGCCATGCAGCGCATACACGTAGAGACGAACAAGAGCAGAAACAGGTCGAGCAGGGCTGCTGCCATGTGGTTCTGCTGGGGAGTCATTTTCAACAATCCCTGTCAAAAAGAGACAGAAATTACTGGATGTTTTCATCTTTTCTTAAACTATTTAATATATGTAGTTTTCTAAAAAAAAAAAAACTTTTCAAAGATTTTTAATAGTTTAGAGTAAACAGATTAAGCCTGGGCTAATAAATAATGAGAATAAATTAGATGAGTGCTCTCATTTCTTTGCTGTAAATATTAAGGGCATCCAGATATTTAGCTCAGCTTAGCAGTAAGACTGTTCAACTGATTTCTCTCTGTTTTTGTAGGGTTTCACCTTATAATGCAAAGTAACTAGAGGTGCCTGTTGTTGTGATTTGACAGAAAAATGTAATTGAATTTGGCACTAGTGCTGTCAGAGGTATGAACTTCTATTTGTTTCATTTGTTCAACAGTTCAAATATTAAAAAAGCCATCAGACTATTTCTTTGCCTGGGGCACCCTTTTCTTAGAGTTGTCTGTCTACCTGTCAAACTAATAAATTCAGTTCACTTCTAATGTTTACTGTGCACAGAATTTGTACAGAATAAAAATAAAAATTATAATAATTGCTGACTTTTATAAGACTTTACGTTCGTTTTGGGTTGTGTCAGACTAACCCCCCCCCCCTTCTCTGTCTCCAGCTGTTCTACACTGTTCAGTCAGCCTGTAGGTTGACTGTACAGTATTACATATATTGTTATTGTATCTTTATTTCAGACATATAGAGCAAACCAATACATACACGTACACATACTTGCATTTACATGTACAAATACGAATATATATGTACATTCACTCACACACACACACACACACGTATGTGCTACATGGACTGAAATGAGGTTTTAAAGGAAGATGCCGCCTGGTCAGAAATATCACTGAAAATTAATATTTGGGTGGTGAAACAAATTAAATGCAAAATATGTTGAAGTGAACATCAGAAAACAATATTTACAAAATATTAACTTTAGCTGAGGGTAACAGCTAGCCTTAATTAACCAAAGTTCAAAGACTATAGTTTAGTTTTCACTTCCTATT